GCTGCTGAATGGTGTTATCTCTTTCACCAATAAATTTAGCTCAAATTTGAAACAAAATACTCTGGAAAGAAGAAATCAAAATATTAGGCATGTATATAATACTGAAAAAAACACATAGAAAAGAAGAGAGAGAACACCTTGTCCCTCTGCAGCTGAAATTTAGGTCTATTCTCAACTGTTAGTTTGGGATTTCTTTTGAAGTACCTGTAAAGCTACAGAAAGCTAAGCATCTTCCCAAAAGGACTCTGTCCTCTGTTTCTCCAATGTTCTCGTCCAGCAGTAAAAATAGATTTATTTAAACTTATTTTGCCTTTCCTTTTGTTTAGAGTTATGGTCACCCATGTCTTTTTGAGAAACTGCTTCATACTAGGGACTTTATAGCTGCACCCAAACTTTCAAAGATTGTCACAAGAGTCTTCTAATGGGTCTATTCATTTAGGAGCCTTCCTTGTGTTGCATCATTCCTTTAGCCTCTCAGTGTATGTGAAACTGTTAGTTAACTATTCTCAAATCTTTTGAAAATGAGATATGTCAAGTGGAGTTCAAAAGAGTTGTTCTCAAAAGAGTTCTGAAGTATTTATTCTTCTGCTCCTGTTTACCTTTTCTTTTCTAAGTCAAATGAATTCTGATTATAAACACACAACATTTCACAAAACAAACAGCTTATGAATTTTTTGGCACTGCAGAGCAGGTCTGTCTTTTGATTCTTCCCACTCAAAACAGCATGACTTGCAACAGTGACCTGTTCATAGCCTCATAAATTTACATAAAACTTTTGATAGTCTTGCAATTTGAGTTTCTTGTGACATTTTAATATATCACAAAACATATCCCATGATATATTAACATCAGTGTGGGTGTAGTTTGTCCCGCTTGTCAGAATTAGAGGGTGTTGTCACAGGTGAAGAAATACAATTATCCCCATTGACCACCCCACGATTTCATCGTTTCAGGAGATAACAAAAGTCCAAGTAAAAGTTGGACATCGCACAGGAAGCATCTTCCCTTAAATAATGGTCTTGATTTCTCTCCTAGTCCAAACTAAGTGACCAAATCATGTCCCATATAAACTGCAATTACATACTCTACTACTTGGAAAAGAAATTACAGACACACAGGAGCTAAGGGTAAAACAGATTTCTGAATAAAGCAGATAATATAGCAGACAAACGTGACCCTTCTTCTTTGGATGAGTTACAAAATTAGTGAAAAATTCAGTGCTATCATTTCCACAGAGAAATAAGCAACTCTGTTAAAATTTACAAAAAATAACCCAAGCAGGCTTGAATTATGAGTCCTGTCAAGTTTAGCTTGAAAAACTAAAAGCAGATTGATGGGAAGCTACAAGGCACTTTTATTTGCTAGCAGGTGGAGTAACTATTGTGATACCACAGAAGTCCCTTGTTGATTTGGCATAATATAACTTTTATGTTTGTTCTTAAAGAAAAAAACAAACAGCATACTGAAATCTAGAGATGATGCCAAACTGCAGACTGTCATACACCAAGGGCATGAAAATAACAAGAAAAACATCATAAATACTGGCAACATAAAAAATAAGGTTCAACTGGCAAAATAGCAGTTTATACATGTTGAGAAAGATGAAACAAATCATCAGAATGTAATCCATGAATACAAAGCAGATATTCAGAAAAGGCAGCAAACATATACTGAAATTAGATTGAAGCATCTATATCATCTGTTGTAACCCCCTTGTGTCTGCAACAGTACGCTGAATCTGGAAAAATGCCAAACACCAACAATAAATTAGGTGAACCTTAGAAATAATCTGTACTATGTGTACATACAACACCCATCAATAACAGATTTTTGTTCTCAAAGAGCTACTGGAAAGGAAACCATAATTGTAGTGATATATTCTTTAGCATCAGTTTAATTCCTTACCATCAAAGTCAGATTAGATACCTCATTCCATGTACACCTGAAATTCCTGTCAAACAATTTTAAGAAGTTCAAGGAATACAGGATTAGTTCAACAGCAGTTCCAATCTTCATCTGCCCATGCACTACACCATGGACCAAGATAAAGATATTCTCTCTCTCAAGTGGAACTGATGAGAAAACACATGCAGATTCCTCATGCTTCGCTATCAAAAACAAGTAATGAAATGAGGGGGGAGGGAATCAAAGAACCAGACACATTAATAAACTGAACTAGAAGAAAAAGAATTCAAAACAAAACAACCCCAAAAAACAAAGGGTTCACGCTTCCCAATCTACAATAAATATAGTAATGACTCACAAACATTTCCAGTTTACAAAGAGAGATAAAAGATACTTCAAATCTCCCATGAGAAAAAATGGGATGGAACTGTAGAAAGAAAAAAACAAACCAAAGCAATACTATATTGTGTTTTGGGAAGTTTGTCTTTGGAGCCTGCCAGTGCTAATAGCAGTAGCCCTGGCTATAGTAGGTATCCAAAGAAGGGCAACGAAGCTGGTGAGGGGTCTGGAGCACAAGTCTTATGAGGAGCGGCTGAGGGAATTGGGTTTATTCCGTCTGGAGAAGGAGAGGCTGAGGGGAGATCTCATCACTCTCTACAACTACCTGAAAGGGGGTTGTGGTGAGGTGGGTGTTGGTCTCTTCTCCCAAGTAACTAGTGATAGGACAAGAGGAAATGGTCTCAAGTTGCAGCAGGGAAGGTTTAGACAAGATATTAGGAAAAATTTCTTTACAGAGAGAGTGGTCAAGCATTGGAACAGGCTGCCCAGGGAGGTGATGGAGTCATCATCACTGGAAGTGTTCAAAAAATGTGTGGACGTGGTGCTTCGGGACGTGGTTTAGTGGGCATGGTAGTGGTGGGTTGATGGTTGGGCTTGATGATCTTAGAGGTCTTTTCCAACCTTAATGATTCTGTGATTCTGTGATAATAACAATATACTGTTAGAGTAGGAATAATGACAATATACTGTGAGTAGCTTTTCTGTTGTATTATTACTCATTGTGGTCAATGAGTAATGGGCAACATTCACTGACAAAATCTATCAGATTAGAAATTGCTATCATGAAGAGTTTTAACAGAGTAAACAAAGATGGTTGAGAATATCCTTTTTTCCCTTTTTTTTATTCCTTTTTTATATATCTCTTATTCTTGCAATGGAATTGCACCTTAATGTGCACTGCCAGGCCTTGAAAGCAGCTATGCCCATGCTCGTTCTGCGCAAAGAAAGAGTTCCTACCTCTTTTTGCCAGCTACTTCAAGCAGCATGTTACCTACCACATACAACACCTACAATTTGCTCTTGGACAGATGGCTTCTTCCCTCATGTATCTTCCCTTGGCTGTTGACACAAAACCTGACAGTGCCCATTCAGTAGGCCATCAGTCCCTCTAGTTTCCCATAGCCTTAAGTTCTTTTATAATTTTCCATTTTTCAAAGGTCACTCTGGACTTAATGCTGAAAGAATACTGATTTCTAACATAGTGTCACATATAGTTAAAGATTAAAAAAAAAATCAACAAAGAAATAGGAAAAAGTTTCAGTTCCATGTTTTGTAACGGTGTCTTCTGAACAATTCAGATTGTTCCATGACTCCTTTTTCAGCGTTCCGTACCAGCTTTCTGAGAAGCTTTCTAATTTTCTCAAGACAACTACCCAGCCCAGGCAGATCTGTGCTCACACAACTGCTGGTCATTAGAGGTAGCTGTGTCTTTTGGTAGTACGAAGATGACAAGTGGTCCTGGGTCAGGCTGAGCAAGTGTAGCATGTCCTCTTTATACTACACAGAAGAACAAAACTAAATCTTTGCAGACCTCAACCCAGAACAGACAGCTGAGAACAAAATTAAAGAACATTCTCAGAGTAGAGAGATTTCCTGTTCCATGTGAGTTTAGGACGTAGACTTTGTCATTCAGATGTATTTTTGCAAACTTATCTTTCAGTATGAGTTAACCACAGCAAAAGATGATTTTGAATAAAAATAAACATGTGAGAGAATTCTTCATAAAATTATCTTCCAGCTTTGCTTTGAACTGAATGCTCACTTTTCCACTGAATCACAAAGATATGCTACAGCTTGGCTTGATACATTCACTTTCTAATTTATCATATCTCTAAACAGGAATTAATAGTGCTAATTAAAATCCTCTTAAGTCATTCAATTTCTTTGATTAGCTATTTTAACTTTATCCAAGTAAATAAATGACATTTCTGTTATCTTAATTTAACATTATAAAGTAGAACACATATACAAATTAAACTTACATTGACCTTTTAATGGTACTGAGACTAACATCCAGCTTTTCATACCAATACCTCAGATACAATTTTGCACTGCAAGCAGGAAAACAGATGAACACAAAAACTCCAGTGATGTAAATTAGCACATTTCTGGCTCACTGAAAATCAGAAAGTGTCAGTTTTGATTCTAACACTATAGATGCATCCACTTTAGGAAGGAACACTGTTCCCTCCAGGAGCAATGTGGATACAAAGAATACAAAGTCTTTAAACATCCTAGTTTTACGCGTGACAGAATTACGTAGACAAAGTGGTGTGTGCTATTGAACTCAGGACAATGCATGCCTGTTAGGTGCAAGAGCAAATGGTAGAGATAAGGCTATTTAAAGAGATTTAAGATATCTAAAGAATCTTTGGAAACAATTTCAGCCTTTCCAAAACAGTCCTCTGCTGTCCCTGTTTATTTTTTGAGGATCTGACCTTTCCAAATGGCTTTATTCTCAAATTTACAGGTACACTTATCAGAAAAAACAACAAGGTTTTACTTTTATGTATTAAAATACCTAGTTAGTAATTTATCATTGCTTTACTTTTAAATATTGCACTATAGTAATCAATAAAAATTAAGTTTACTACTTTGCAAGTCAGCAAAAACACATGCTGGGTTTGAAAGTGTCTTGGGATAAAATGCAGCCTAAGCAATAAATAATAATCTGCTAATTCTACCTGTACAGATACTATGTTAAACAAAATAAAGCAGATAAGTAAATGGAGGAGAGAAAAGAGGTTTCTAAATACCATGACTGTTGCATCGTGATGTTTCCACAAGTCGATTGTTTTGGTCATAGCACGCCATAGCCTGGTAACGATAGCCTTGTCCACATTCCTTAATGTCTCCTTGTACCTTCATTCCCATCAATACTTCCAGCTTGCCCTCTGGTAAAATACAGTCTGACCAGTTTCCCACAGGCTGAGCACTGTACTTGTCACATGGACAAAACTGATTCTCAATCAGAGGATACAACTGAGAATTTTTGCATTTATCCCTTTTCTTACTTTTTCCTAGAAAGAAGAAACAATTATTTTAGAAAGCTTGTATCAGTTTACCTCTCAGAAATTTCATTTAGACATCTGTAACACGTGCTTGCAATCAAATACATATTCCTACTAGTTACATTAATCTTTCTTCATTTAGGTTAATGACTTGAATTTCTAAAGTACTGAATGCCTACAGTTTGCACAAAGGCAACACTTTTTGAAATAAAGCCTTATATTTATATTTATATTTATATTATTTATATTTATATTATTTGTATTATTTGTATTATTTATATTTATATTTACATTATTTACTTTGGATAAAACTGTTTGGGGAGTACAGTTTAAAAAATTCAGCAATTAAACAAATATACCTTTTCTCCCCTATTTCATCAGCAGTGTGCAGTCCAATAAATTAAATTGTCTCTGGATAAAACCTTCTCAAGTTGAAGGAAACTGCAGAAGGAAATAACATGCACCTTTGCTACAGTAGTACCTTCTTTCAAAATGCTAAAATCCTTTAATTTCATCAGCTGTTATTGTACATTTATTAATTACCATTCTTCCCCTCTAATAGAATACGCTCCTTCAAGTGAATTTATGTTTCTTTCCAAATGTCTTCTAGCTTGTTTTCCTTTCAGAACTGGAGTAGCCATTCACTTGCCTTCCACTTCCCATTAAATCTATTTTTAAACTTCTCATTGTTAAAGTTTGCTCAGTTTTCCTTTCCATATTGGCTCATATATATTAATGTGGAAGTCTTTGCAAAAGTAGTTTTAAAAATGTTTGTTATTTAGATGCTACAGTAGATTAATATTCTGTAGTATTTTCCTTGCTATTCAAAATAAAGCACTGGATACAAATTTGCAGCACCGTTTGTGCTTGTACTTACTACTGCCTTCATTTAGAATAGAAAGAAGGTATCTGAAGAAAAGTTTATCATTCTTTTGACAACACAACTTCATACTAAAAATATAAATCTCCTCATTTTCACCATAAATAATTACAAATTTACACCAAGTTAGGTTTACATGTTAGCCTGGGTAGCACTGCCACAGAGAATACACCACAGCACATATCACAGTCTTAGCAAGTTTGAAGGGGTAACTTACCTCAGGACAGGGAAGTATCTCAAAATGTTAATAGTGTGATAAGAGGATCTGTTCTTTCTTGCTTTGTTTTTAAAATAAAAAAAAAATTGTTAGCCAGGGTTTTTTTCCCTTGTGGAAGCAAACCCAAAATAAAGTTCATTGGAGTTCTAAGACAGTCACAGTGAGTCTTCTTGAAGATCATGAATTATTCACTGTCCATGGGTTTTCTGCTTTACAGGGGGATGGAGTGTGGGATAGGGTTTGGATCCTACCACATCCTTTCTGAGGCTTCTAATGGGCACCCCCCTTAGCTAACTTTCCTCCACCACAGACAACACAGACTAATTGGCAAATAGTGCTGTGACATATTATAACTGAGGCTTAAGTTGTAATCTAGAAACAGAGCATGGTTTTTTTTCTCTTCATGTTGGGGAAAAAAAAAAAAAGCAGATTAAAAAGAAGTTGAAAAAAAAATGTTTCAAAGGAAGGGTGTCTATCATGTGGAACAAGGAAAAGTTTGTGGCAAAGAGTTGGACATCACTGGAAAAACTTACTATCCTCTTAATCAAAACCTCAAAAGTACTGCAAAGTAACAGTGTCACAACACAGAGACTCTACCTAATGAAGAGGAAAATCACCCACAAAAGAGCATTCTTACTTCTATCAAGAAGTAATGCAGAAAACTAAGCAACGTATTGCCTCATGCAGTGATCTGAGTAGCTGGATGAAGACAATGGAAGAACAGAGAACACAAAGAACTAGGAAAGCAAGCATTCAGCCAGGGAAAGAACCAGCTTAATTGTAAATATGACATTCAAGATGCAGCTAAGAAGTTCAAAAGAGGTAAACCAAAGCATAAGGCTGAAAATGATGAAAAGCACTCAGCTGCCATACTAATTCTAATGTACCAAAAGACCATCTGAGATGATAGTGCTGGTGTAGCCAAGACCAGAATTAGGAAAAGGAATGTGAGTGGATTAACACCTGAACCTGTTAAGGAGAGATGGTTGTTGATTGGTCTGTCACCAATTTAAAAAAAATAAAAATAAAATCCACTTTCACTAGATTTTCTATTAAAAGATTTTCTACTAGAAGCTCTAGGTGAATTTCAAGAAGATTTTTTCCCCTTAATGACAGTTCAGGAAAAAAAAAAAAAAAACAAAACAAAAAAAACACCAAAACAAACCCAAAGAAAACAGACCCAATTCGATCTGGTGAGAATTCGATCTCTTTAGACAATGCCAGCAAGATACAGCTTCTGCATGGAATTATGGTTGCTGAGAAATCAAAACAAGTTGCAGACCTGTCTCCTAAACTCTTAGCTGAGAAATAGCACATAAACCAAGAAAATACAAATAAATAATAGGGTCTGAGGCCACCCTGGTTTTCATTATCAGTTTTCCAAATCTATTTTCTTGTCTTAGTGAAATTAAAATTGTTTAACCTTGCTTGGGACTGAAAGTGATTTGAGAGTGATGTGAGGAGAAGAGTTTTCTTTTCCCAGAAAAAAGCAAAGTTGTTCTGGACTTCTCAGAGTGCTTCACAGTACCTACATCATATTGAAAAGACCAAGGTCTGTGGCTTTTTACACCATACTGTTTGTGAGTTATTTCCTTTTTGACATTCACTAAATTGTCCAACGCCTGCCTGAACTATCAGTCAAAAAAAGTTTAGGGAAAAAAAAAAAAGCTATTGGAAAAATATTTTAAACTGTAACTCAGAGAAATTGCTTGAGAGAGCGTAACCACAAAGGTCTGTCTCTTATGTTTGTTAAATACTTAGCACAAGTAGGTAATCTCAAGGACATAGCTCTGTACAAATGATAAATCATAAACCAGCAACCTTCCTGACCTTTTTGTGCACAGAAGCAGGCTGCAGAATCAAGATTTGTAATGAACATGGCATGGTGGTGCATCCCCCTGCCCTTGCTCCTGGACCGCTCTACGACCTTAGAAATTCAGTCAGCTGGCAAGCCTTGGCCTTTGTGCAATGAGTTTGGTGGTTAAGAGCCCCTTGGTTGTACCACGCACTGTTGTGTAGCTAAGGTGGGGAATGGCATTGATCTGGAGTTCGGTTGTCTGGCCAGGGCGTGGAGAAGGAGTGGGAATAACTAATCATCCCCTGGCAGCCCTGGAATGACCGGTACCAGTACCAGTGTTACTGGAGATTTGAGAACTCCAGTAATTACTGACCTGGATTGTGGCCAGGATGGAAATTTATGATGGTTAAAGTCAATCATCTCGTGACCCTATAAACAGCAGTCCCAAGTGATGCCCTTTGAGCTCTCCTGGGCCACAGTGGTCTGCGACCAGCATCCCCCTCTGAGTGGGATGCCTCTCAGAGCTCGCGAACTCTCAAGTGAGCTAAGTTTGGAGGACTGTTGCCAAAGACCAGCAACAGGACCTGGGCTGAAACCCCTACTCCTTGAGGCTCAACCCTCGCCTGTTGAGAAATGCAAAGGCATTTGACATGAATATTTCACTGAACTCAAGGGGAATTTTTAGCAGGTATACCTTTATATTTATATATTTATATCCATATTTGTGTGTGCAACTTGAGAACTTTGTTAAGTCTTTAACTAATTTGTTGTGTTAATCATAACAAATTGTTGATTATCAATGGACTAAGCCTTGTTATTAAATTATATAATTTAATATTGTGGTTTCTCTTAACAGTATTAATGAATTTTAAATTGCTGTTATTCTACATTAAATTGCTACTATTCTAAAGTTATACAAAACACAAAATAATATGTTAAATCATCACACCAAGATCCCTGCATTTAATCCCTTTAGATATAAACCATTGACCAAGTCTGGGACTAAGAGTGGATCTAGACGCACTTAGACTCCTTTGAATAGGATTTTAGAAAGCAAGGGTGTCCACTCGGAATCTCGTGACTCAATTTGAGGGTGTCCCTTATCTTCTTTCCCT